CTCATTGAAATGTAATATTTTGAGATGGGCCTTTCCCACTCACACCACAAAACATTGGTGGCTGATGACCTTTTTGATAGGTGAGGCAATCTGAGTCTGTCTAACCAAGCCTATCTTGTTAACATGGCATGCACAATGACTTGGCCTTTCTCATGATGGCCTTACTCCTGTGCCAGTGCTGTCTTGCTCCCATGCTCCGGAGATTCTAGGTGAGGCAGTGTCTCACTTGCCTCACCTGATGAGTCACCACTGCTGGAACTGGTGTATTGCAAAGAACAGAGAGAATAATAATAATTCTTAATTAATGCTAAACTGAGTTACATAATTCGCTGTATGTTCAGTCGCTGTGCATCAAATGTTTGTATTCAAGTTAGGTATTAGTCTGGCTCAGTTGGTAGCATTCTTATCTCTGAGTTAGAAACTTGTAGGTTTTATTTCCATCCAGGAATAATTGAATATGTTTCCACATCATCTGGTTCAATGCCAATAATCCTATGGGTCTATTCAAAATGTTAATGTAGTTTCTGCTGGTGTCCGGGACAATTTGCTGTACGTTCAGTCACTGTTCACCAAATGTTTTTTTTCAAGTTAGGTGTTAGCCTGGCTCAGTTGGTAGCATTCTTATCTCAGAGTTAGAAGCTTGTAGGTTTTAATAGTTTTTATTTCCATCCAGGAAGAATTGAATATGTGTCCACGTTATCTGGTTCAATACCAAATAACATTGGGTCATTCACTCCATGGCTGTTTGTGGAAATTAGCTTTGTACAAGTTGGCTGCTGTCACATCTACAAACATAATGTATAGTACATAATATATAATAATATTATCTACAAATATACAGCTGATTTACAGAAAAGTCTTTGAGATATTTTGATGATGTGAGAGATGCTATTTAAAAGCAAGGATTACATGTACATTTAGCCACAGTAATACATGTAAATTTAGCCACTTGCTCTAATTGTCAATGTAATAGTGTAAAATAATAATAATAATCCTTCCATTTGAAAGAGTGCCTTTCACATTAAGAAGACATCTCAAAGTACTGTGCAGGATTCATGGAAAGCATAGTGCCTGCCCGTAGTGCAGGCAATTTTGTTCACAAGAATTTAACTTCAGTTTAATTTCTCTTCAGAGGACGGCACCTGTGACAATACAGTGCACCCCCAGCACTGCATTGGAATGTCAGCCTAGACTGAGTTCAAAGTCCCAACGTGGGGCTTGAACCCACAACCTTACTCAGACGTGAGAGTGCAACCAACTGAGCCAGGCTGACACATGTCAGAACCTTCAAATTATACAGAAGGGATAAGAAACCTTTAATCATATATTTTCATAATCTGAAAAGTAATTTTAATTGCATAGTTTCTTAGAACTATAATACAGCATTTATTTAAGGTACTTTAATTCAACTAGGTTGCAGCAGAATGTGATAAGTGGCAGGAGACATAAAATGAATAGCAGAATTGACTCTGAATTAAAATCTCAGCTATAGAAGATCTCAGTTGATCATATAGTGAGTAATAAGAGCTAGAGTCATAGCTGGAAGAAAGAGGTCATTGAGAATGGCTTCTGACTACACTCGGTAATTATCTTCTTTCTTTGATATTTCATTTAACCAACTTTTGCTGAGCAGATATTACACATGGACTCCTCTCTCAGGCATAATGCTGGACTGTCCAATTGACTCCTTTTCTCACACCAGATTTTAATCTTTGCTTCCTCTTAGTCTATACATCTGAGAAATGATCATAACTACCTTCCCAACGTATTTCTCATTGCTGGCTATTTGCTGGCTTACCAGCATGATTCAGGCAGTGAATTTCTTTTAGGAACCAATAAATAGAGTTGAACAAATTCAGTTTTTTCTTGAAATCTGGGCTAACATATGTTACTTAACACAATTTAAATTGCAAGGTATTTACAGGTATGCACAAGGGGATTGTACATATTTGGTTATATTGTGGATAACCAAGTGTGGAGTCCTGTAGCTCAGTGGTTAGAGCACTCGCTTTGCAAGTAAGAGACCTGAGTTCAATTCCAGGCAGGGCGAAACCTTGGGCAAATTTCCTTACTCCACGCGCCTAATAATAATCCCTCCAAAACCAAAAACAATAATAAAATTGGTCATTTTCAATCCACGGCTGTTTGTGGGACACTGCTGTACGCAATAGGCTGCCGCGTTCGCCCACAAACATACAGTCAATTCACTTCACAGTGTGTTCTGTGAAGTGCTTTGGGACCTCCTCCAGACGTGAAAAGCGCTATATCAAATGCAAGGATTATTATTATTATTATATTCGGTTACATTTACCGGAAGGGATCTTTTCTCGGCAGGGGCCTAATCTGGGGTTCGGGGGTGTATAGTTTTGCATGTTGTGACTTCTACAGCTGGTAATAATAATTCTTGCATTTCATATAACACCTTAGCATGTTATCAAGACATCTCAAGGCACAGCATACACTGTAAATTTGTATTAAGACAGCTGGTGAGGTAATGGGAGCTATGTATGCAGTCCTTCATCTCAGGACCCCCTACATTTGTTAATCCTAAAGACAGGATTTAGAGTATCTTGTTAGGGTCTCAAAGGTAATGCTGAATTTAGAGGTAATAGAGGATGTCTTGTTGCTCAATGTTGTACGGTATTTCTCAAGAAACTGCTCAAAGAATGATTAGCACATTGTGAAGCAGTCGGTCGTTATCAATGATCCCGATAGCATCTTCAATGCAGTGCAGACTTCCCTCCAGACCGTAAACATTTTTTGAGAGAATCTGGGCTCCTGATTGTCTTGTCTGGGAATTTGTGAAGGGTAGAATGTGTTGGAGGAAGGGGATAAAGTTGACCCAGATTCCAGCCCAAACTGAAGATTTTGACCCATGCAATGATTTCTCAGAGCTGCACTGCCCATTAATATTTGGGGGGACTCTAATCACTTTATTTTTGTGGGAGGAAGAAAACATAGCTGTATCCATAGTTGTATAATTCTTCAAAGAAGTGTAGAGTTGAGTTAGTCCGGGCACTGGAGTTGTTGCATCAGGATACAAATGGAAAACATCTGAAATGGGTTGGCTTCAACTATCTGGGTCTCAATGTATGATGAAGATGAGGTGCGAACATTCCACTTTGACATAGTCCTGATAGCTTAGGGGTGATAACTGTGACAAGGCATCTGAATCCTGATACTCCCCACCTGAAGAGTTATGTATCTAATAACCATGCAGGCATTTCCTGAGTATCATCCATGCTTTCCATTCTGAATTTGTAGATATAAGAGTGAACACATTCTTTAATGGTATGGAAAGTAATGGGGAGGAAAGTGGTGAGGTTAGTTATTTGAGGCTGGTACATTTCCAGCAGGTGAGCATTCACCAGGAGTGAGACCCCTAGCTGACTGTCCCCTCTCTACACTGGACATTCAGACCAATTGTAGAACCACTCTTACCCAGTTTCAGATCAGATGATGCAGCATAGATTGAAAAATAAATTTGCAGGGATTAAATGTTGGACCGTCTATCTGTATAATGTAATTTACTGAATTAAACTCGGAGTCACCTTTTGTTCATTTTTGGAGATATATTTGGAGTTTGAATAAAATAGATAATAATAATTTGTTCAGATATTGCTATAAAAAAGGTCATTTGTCTTGAACAAACTGTTTTCCATTGTCTTTCTCCAATGTTCAGCCACAATAATGTTTTACCTGCAGTGAGATACAGTATAGCAATGCACTACTGTGAGCCAATGAGTTACCTTCTCATTATATGACTGAGCCTGTCATTACACTCCATTAGAGAGGTAAGTGGTACAGTGTCTATATGAGAAACTATGCTATATATTGCCTTACACTCAATGTTAGGGTTTTATTTCAGGGTAAAATATGAAATGCAAGTATTAAAAGATTATCACGTGGATGTTTCTTTATTGCACTCATTAGAAAAAGCCACAGTCGCTCACTTAGATAGAAAATGAGAATGCAAGGCACCGTTTCTTTTTTTTTTTGCCTTCAGTGTGCAATAAAAATGGATTCAAAAAATGTTGCATCCGTTCTTAGATCACAGGAATAATTCGCACACAGAAATGCGGTAGGTAGGACACGTAGGGAAATGATGGAGAGACGCAGATGGAGGTAACATGCAGAAAGATGGGGAAGATCTCTGGGAATAAATACATCCAGTGTCTGCCCGGATGGCGCGGCTGAAATCCTTCTGTTACGGATACAAATGCAATGTGGGAAATAATAGTATTGCAGTTTAAGTCACAGTGATCTCTGCGATTAAATGAAACCATTCACTCCAATGCAGGTGGACGGTACAGATTGTGAACTCGGAGCAAACGTCTTCGATCCTTTGATTCTCTCGTTAGCAGTTATTATTCCACCCGTTTATTCTCTCTCTTCGGCTTTGCGAGATGCCCAATATTATTACACAAATATAAAAAAAAATCATTGGCGGAGTGCAAACCGAGTCATTTATTCGAAATAAAGACATCGCAACTTGGGTTATTTTGGAAGGAGAGGGAAGGTGGTGGTGGTGGAGTGGGGGGGTGGGGGGTGTGGGGTGTGTGTGTGTGTGTGTGTGTGGATGATCCGACGATCATTTACATTTAGCAAATCGCTGCAAAATCTTGTTCATTACTTAAGCAATTCTGCTGAGCCTCTGTGCTCCACTCAATCGTCACCCAGAGCTGTGGGATGTGCTATAAATAGACTGTCGGCGTCCTCCCCCCTCCCCCCTCCTCCCCCTCCCCTCCCCCCCCATTCAGGAGTAATACACTCGGTTCCGTAAGTCCATAAATTAAGAGCACTGCTATTAACAGTGCTTTGAACAGTCCAACACTGCTCCCTAATGCACACATCCAGGGTAGGCGATGCGGTGAAAATAATAAAACTCTCGCTGCTCGAATGGTGAAACGAGGGGTTGGCCTTTGAGGGGTGTACGAGAAGAAGGGGGGGAAAAAAGAGAGAGAGAGAGAGAGAGAGAGAGAGAGAGAGAGAGAGAGAGAGCCCCGAAGCGATCAATAGTTGGCCGCCTGCTGCAAATTGACTGCAGTGTTCCCGGAGTAGTCCCCGGCAACAAAATTGGTGTGGGATTGACATGTAAAAGGGGCAAAGCCGCGTGTCAGATGTGCTTCACAGGAGGATCCAGGGCTGGGGGATCTGCCAGAGCTGGAGGAGGATGCTGCGACAAGTCGTGCACTCAGGGCTGAAGGGATGCTTTTACAGCTTGGGATTATTCGTGAGCAGACACCCCGTCTTCTTCCTGACAGTCCCCTCCATCCTGACCATCCTCTTCGGGGCGACCTTCCTCAACAGATTCCAGCGTGAGACCGACCTGGAGTTGCTGGTGGCGCCCAAGCACAGCCTGGCCAAGATCGAGCGGACCCTGGTCAACAGCCTGTTCTCCATCAACCAGTCGAAACACAACCTGTACTCGGACCTGCACACCCCGGGCAGGTACGGGAGGGTCATCTTCAGGTCCCGGTCCGGGGCTGACGTCCTGGAGGGAGCGGATCGGATCCTGCGGCTGCACAGAGCGGTGCTGGAGATGCGCGTCAACGCGTCCGACTTCAGCTATTCCTTCTCTCATATCTGTCTGTGGCGGAGCAGCGACGAGAGGTGCGTTCTCGACGATATCATCGAACTATTGGAAGATCTTAGTCAAGCGGCTCTGTCTAATAGTACAGGACCGAGGAAGTCATTGCGCTATCCTAATGCTAAATTAAAGGTGAAACACAACACGCTCTTCTTTTTTTTTTAAAAAAAAGATAGTCATTTCGTTCACAGGTTCTCATCCGCATGTTTCTCCGATTCGCTTTCTGGTTCTCTTCTGTTTCTGTTCGGGTTCTCTGATCGATTTTTTATTTTATTTTATTTTTTAAAAAAAAATATATATTTTTTTTGGCCATCGTTTCTTCTGCTGCTGCTTCTTTTTTTTTCTTCTTCTTCTTCTTCTTCTTCTTCTTCTTCTTCTTCTTCTTCTTCTTCTTCTTCTCCTTCTTCTTCTTCTTCTTCTCCTTCTTCTTCTTCTTCTTCTCCTTCTCCTTCTTCTTCTTCTTCTTCTTCTTCTTCTTCTTCTTCTTCTTCTTCCTTCTTCTTCTTCTTCTTCTTCTTCTTCTTCTTCTTCTTCTTCTTCTTCTTCTTCTTCTTCTTCTTCTTCTTCTTCTTCTTCTTCTTCTTCTTCTTCTTCTTCTTCTTCTTCCCCGGAAATTTTTCCAGTCTGGTCTTATATTGCAGCGAGTTTTTTTTTCCACCAAAAAAAAAAGAAAAGAAAAGGGTTTAAAAGCCCATGAGCACCGACTTTGCTGTTGGAAGGGGTTGGGGTTTCTGTGCAGTCACACACGCAATCACTGATGCTTTTTTTTTTGGTATTGTGTTTCTTTTTTTTTGTGGATCAGCAATGGGTTGAAACTGCACAGGTCGGTTTTTTTGTTGTTGTTTAATTGCTTTTATTTCCCATGTTTTGTTCTGCACTGTCAGTCTTGGTATTATTTCGGAATGAGTAGGTTTGGGTGGTGTGTGTGTGGGGGGGGGGGGGGGGGGGGGGTTGGAGGGGGGAACTTTTCAGATCTGTTTCGAAATAGTGCTGAAATTATTCAGGTCGTGCAAAAGATGTATTTATTTTTAAAAGCACTTACAATTTTGGACGCCAACCGTACACTTCCCAGCGAATCAGCACTTGCTGATCGTTTTGTAAACGTGCATTAGTCTCATAGACTCTTACTGTAGAGTGTGGAACCTTTAATTATTTCAACCTAAATGCTGTACGTTTGAAAATCCGTATAGACATAGTCTTATTGGTACCAACACATAAAACAGTTGCTCTCATTTAGTAGTGGCTATCGACAAATTTGAATTCTGCTTGAAACTTACATTTGCAAATGTATTTCCAGTATAAAATGTTGTTTATATTTGTTTATACAGCATTGCAAAATGTAAATAATCTGATCTTGTTTATATTTTGCAAAGCAGATAACTTATTTTCATTAAACCAACCAGCCCTAAACTTTGTATGACTTATGTAAGCATATTGCCTTCGAGTGCTAGGCTGGTGCAGGGAACTGTACAACATTAAAATATTGAAAGGACTTTAGGGCAGCTGTTATGGGCTAATGCTGCTGCAAGGTGTGAGGTTTAGCCCAGACTTTTGCTCAATTAATCTTCTGGCATGTCAATGTTATACTTATCTGGCAGAGAAAAAAATATCAAATGTAAGGATTATGTTATTAAAAACAAATTTGCAATGTTTTATCTTTAGGGTCAACCGTCCTTCGGATGAGACGTTAAACTGAGTTAATCTGCCTGCTCAAGTGGATGTTAGAGATCCCATAGCACTATTCGAAAGGACAAGGGAGTTTCTCCCGGTGTCCTGACCAACAAACCTCGAGATAAAAAAAATGATAATTCACTTCATGGCTGTTTGTGGGATATTGCTGCACACAAATTAGTTGCTGCATTCACCTACAAATACACAGTCACTGCACCTCGCAGAATCTCTGTGAAGTGCATCGAGATGTTTTGATTTAATAAGGTGTTATATCAAATATAAGAATCACTGTTATACAGGGCACGATGTTACAGCACGGTTGTCTGGGTGCAATCTCTCAGCAGCCTCCTTATAAACAAAGGTGAAAAAATTGCTAACTTTTAGGTCATTGGATAGTTACTGGTGTCACTTTGTGCAGTGAAATGAACGTCTCTTCCTGCACTGGGCACAGGTACACAACATTGAAGAAAGTGTGTTTCCTGCGCTTAATAATGCACAGGAGCAGTGCGCAGGAAGTGACATAAGCGACACTTTGTGCACAATGCACAGAAAGTGACGATTCCGCGGATCTGACACCTGGAAGATGAAAATTTTTTCATGCTCACTTATTTTTTAGAACAGGAAACTGCCTAGTCGATGCTGGAAGCCAGTTGTGGCATGTTTCCACAGGAAATCAGCACTATACACAGTAACAGCTGAAAACGTGTAAATGATTTGGTGGCGGATATGTGTGCAAAAGCATCCCAATTTAATTACTACATTTAAAATACACAGTAAGGGCCCCTACTTCCTAGAGCTCATTATTCATTTGCTTTTGAATATTCCATCATAATTCATAAGTGGAGTCCTGTAGCTCAGTGGTTAGAGCACTTGCCTCGCAAGCAAGAGACCTGGATTCTATTCCCGGTAGGCCGAAATGTTGGGCAAGTTTCCATACTCCACATGCCTCTGTTTACCTGGCAGTAAGTAGGAACCCGGTTGTTAGATGATTGGCGGATTGCTTTTCCGGGGATAATAATCCTTCAAAAAAATAATAATAATAATAATTTGGTAACTCAATCCAAGACTGTTGTGTGCAATTGGCTACCACGTTTCACCCACAAATATGCAGTTAATTCACTGTAGAGTATATTCTGTGAAGCACTTTGAACATCTAGAAGACATGAAAATGCAAGGATTATTATATTACTATTATGTAAGTGACTGAGCTTAGAGTAGGTTATTGAGAATCCACAAGAGTTGGGAAATCTAGTCGTATTTAGCATAGGTTTTATTTTATGTATTTGTTTGTAAAATGCTGGTTGTTTCAATTGTACTAAATATGTTTTGAAACTACAGAGGGGAGCCAATTATCCACACTATTCGGAATTATCCCCATTGTGGATATACAAACTGCATGGAAAATTGGACAGAACACAAAATATAAATTGGCTACAATGGTACCCAAACAATTATTCATTCAAGCGTTATACTGTCACACTCTGCCAATCTCTCTAAACCTCTCTCTCTCTCTCTCTCTCTCTCTTTCTAAGTCTCTCTTACCCTTCCTCACTGAGTTTGTCCAACTTTCTATCTCCCTATTTCTCTCTCTCTCTCTCTGACTTTATCTCTGTAACTATTATTTCTGTTTTTAAGCCTAAATATTCAAAAGCACATATTAAAACAACTTTGTGCTACAGGCAAAAAAAATCCAGTTGTGGGTTCCCGTAATAAATAATAATCCCTTACATTTTATATTTCACCTTTCACATTGGAGGACATCTCAAAGCATTTCACAGGATATACAGTAAGTACAGGGATTGTGTATCTTGTAGACAAAATAATAACCTTGCACACATGTCAGCATGTCAGTGCCAGTATCTCAGCTCCACATTAAGCCAAGTGGCATTGCTCACTTTGAGATAGCACTTCGGAATCCTTTGCATGACATTGCTTCATTGTGAGTCCTTTCTCTCTGAGACCTGAAAGAAGTTCTCATGGTTTTACAACAATAAGAACAATTTACGTTTATATTGTGAGTGCTTCTTAAAGACTTTCACACAGCCGACAAGGAGATGGAAGTGGTAGGGACTGAGAGTGTGAAAACATAGTCGGAAAGTTAGCTCTTGGAGAGGGGGGGAAGTAAAATGGAGGGACTCCATGATGGAATTCCAGAGAGCAGGAGCAGAATGGTTGAAAGCACACTCACTGGCGATGGGGTGGACCAGGTGGGGGATGCTCAATGGAGGGAACAGTTGTGGCTTTAAAAGACTGTTCAAGCAGATGATTTGGATGTGGGATACTGTACTCAGCACAATCTCACCAGAAAGTGCTATCACTGAATACGTGATGTATTTTCTCTTGTGTTAGCAGTAGTGGTTTGTGCAAGAATTATGAAAGTAGGATATCAACTGAGGGGAGCAGGAAGCTAATTTTGTGATACTTGTAGCTTTCGGGCAGCTTTTTGTGGCTTGTGATTTTGTTGTCACACATTTAGGTGGTGTGAGAAGGTGTTATCAAACACATTTGGTTCCCCTTGCAAGGCCAATGAAGCAGTTGCAGTTCCTGAATCAGGTGTCTTTTGCTACCATCTGGAGGAGGGATCAACTGACACTGCAGATAATAGCAATAATTTTCGTTGTTTTTGAAAAATCGTCACTATCGCTTTGTAAGTGTGGGAGGATTTACATAACTATGAAAAGAGTGTAATCAACAAAATAATGAAGACTGTTTATATGTTCATGATCCTTAAGGGTATAATTTCACTCCAGTAAAATGCGACATGTGAAATGCAGTATCAGTTGCTTTCTGTTAGTGTTATCCACAAAACAGGCTGTAGAGGAAAGCATTAGAACAGCCTAAATTGCGTAATCAGTGATGTTATTTAACATTATCAGGATACCACATGTATCCAACAACTTTACAATATTCCCAATTTGAAAGAATATAAATATTAATATGCAAAAGTATGCTACAAAGTATTATGATTAACTGTAATTGTTATGATTTATGTCTGTGTGATCATTGGTGAGATCATTACTTGGAGGAAATACTGAGCCCAAAAGTGTGAGGGAGGTGAATTGACATTAAAAGTACCTACTTGTTAATCAAGAATGACCCAAAATCTTATCTTTTCAGTTATGTATGTTAACTAATTTTTCTCCCAATGGATGGTATTTCCTTGAAACTACTTACCCTGATTGATGCCGTCAGCATTCACTGCGTAACAAATGTTTCAAATAACATAGAAGAAAAAAATAAACACAGGATATTAAAAAGTGCTGTGTGGTGCAATGAGTTAGAACTGCTCTGGGGCCCATTTGGAATGAAGCTCAGGTTGATAGGATGCCCACCTTTAAAGCCTGCTTTAAAATCTATACTTTTATCCGTGTTCTCCATCACATTTCCTGCTCCTCCATCTCCCATCTCTTTGTACAGTGGTAGCATGATTTTATACCTGATGTGTGATGGCCCAAATTGCATCACTACTCATGTAGTTTCCTCTATACTTACAACAAAATAAATCTTTTATTCTCTAGAGCCACAGCCATAAATTAAAGTAGGATAATACACCTGTAGGTCATACATCCTAGTGCAGCACCAGGAACTGATGCATCCTTCCCACCTATAAGAAATCTCACGATCATAACCTCACAAGTGGTAGCAACTGCACAAGCCTTAATGACAATTGTGAATTATGAGCTGCTTAAACTTATACAAACTAACACTAGTAACATACTATATAAATACGATCCAGCTGGTTAACTTAAAATGATTAATCTCTTATCTTCTTTTATTTAATAGTTATCAACTATAGTTTACTAAATTAGACACTAAAATAAGATGCTTCTTCCTTTGATGTTTCTGAGATTCCCATTTCTCTCCCTCATATTGACTTCGGGATTACACAAAAGGCCGATTCAACTACAGTTCAAATTCAAAGACTCAGCAAATGTGTCAGCTTGGCTTAGTTGTTGGTACTCTCTTCTCTATGTCAGAAGTCGTAAATTCAACTCATATATTGGAGACTTTGAGCTGACAATGTAGTCTGATGCTACAAAAGTTGCCATCTTTGGATTAAGTTATTAAATGGAAGTTGTGTCTATCTGTTGGGGTGCAAAACCCCAAAAGAATTTCAAAAAGAGAAGGGAATTTCTCCAACAATGCTCCAAAATAAATTGGACATTCACCTCCTAGCTGGTTGTGGGTCACTGCTGTGCATGAATAGGCTGCCTCATTCACTTATAAATACACATTCATTACTTTGAGGCGTTACAATACTATGTACATCAAATGTGAAGACTATAATTAAGCTAACAAAACATCATGCTAACTTAAAAAATGTTTTAACTTGTCCAGAATAAAAGCGATCAGTCATAATATTTGAATAGATTAAGACTTTTTGTGAGTGACTGTTTAATGAATTATAATGGTATTAGGTTCAGTCATTCATTTTTTTTCACAGAAGAGGTGGTTATTACCATCTGTAGATGAAATAGTCAAAGATACAACCCTCATACTCCCAGAGGGTGTCTAATGATGGCTTACTAGACTAATACCTGGTCTGAAGGCCTCAGCTAAAATGAGCGGTTTGGTAGTCTGAGATTATATTCCCTAAAGAAAGTCAAGGGGTGATTTGGTTAAGTTATTTAAAACAATTGACGTGAAAAGAAGTGACATGTTAGATTGTAGATGATTTGTTCCCTTGGTAGAGGGATTCATTACAGAAGGCGTAGCCTTAAAATGAAAGCGAGGACTGTCAGAACTGAGTTCAAAAAGTATTTCTTCATTGTGAAAGTAAAGAATGCTCTGCCCAGAAAACTGGCAGAATCAATAGGGATGTTTGAAAGAGAGATAGAGAGTAGGTAGTGGAAGGATTAAGGAGTATGACAAAAGGATGGGGCATTGGATAAAAAAATATTGCCAAGATCACCAACACAGACACGATGGTCCAAATGGCCTTCTTCTGTGCTATAAATGTCTATGGTTCTAAAATAGAAAAAACTGGTGGAGCAGGCTCGATGGGCTGAATGGCTTCCTCCTGTTTCTACATTTCTGTGTTCAGAATTCTCATTAAATTGGAGTGAGTTTCTTGAAGGGCAGACCATTAAATCATATTTTTGTTAACATTTCATACAATCCCCATTTACAGTCATTTAAACTAACAGTGAGCGGAAGTGTAGTTGGTAATGTGTAAAAAGAATATTTTGGAGAAATTAGACGCTGGTGGTGGGGGGATGTTACTAAGGTTAACCTTTTAAATATATTTATTTTTTGCAACGGTTTATGCAGGTATAAACATTACAGCTTTTTATTTTCTTCTGAGAAGATGCGCAATGAATTGTTTTTACAAGAATGCTTTATTGGAGCAGAAGGACAAAAACTTGCTTGATCTTCATTTTCTAAATTGTAATCTATGATGATTTCTTACAAGAATCCATAATAAGGAAACTGAGTGAGACTTCTTCCAGTAACAAAGTACATTGTGCAGACTTGTGGGAATTCTGCTCCGAAGCTACGTGACATTGGAGCAAGTTCTCACAAAACAGCATGCCGTATTTCCAGAATCCTGTGAGAAATAATACCCATGTATAAATATCCCACTTTTGATCCTAGCAATTGGTAGTCATGACATTCTTGCAATAAAATAATTCAAGGAGAGATTGAGCAAAGCATTTGTTGAAATGGCCACTGCACTGTTTATAATTGCTTTTGTTGCTATACACAGCAATGTTGTAACTCAATTTTGAAGTGTTTTGTTTCCATTTAACTTCATTTCAGTTAGGAAAGCTGTAACTTTAGAGACAAATTGTTCAAAGAGAAACTCTCAGAACAACAATGTATCTTGAATGCTCCCTCTTCACAATTACAATGAGTAAGATATTCATAGATAGAGATACGTTTCGAATCTTGGCCTGATGAGTTTGGGCACATGTATCTCGGGGTTCTCAAATCACATTGCAAAGCCACAACAACAACAAAATTACATTTGTATAGCGCCTTTTATGTCGGGAGGACGTCCCAAAGGCGCTGGACATTCAGTGTTTCAGACCCAAGCTGGGGGTCGGGATCAGGAAGGGTGGAGTGCAGTGGGGGAAGTGAGAGTGACCGAAGGCACGGAAGGTCGAAGAGGACAGTTTTGAGATGGGTCTTGAAGAAGGCAAGGAAGGGGGCGAGGTGGAGGGACTGCGGGATGGCATTCCAGAGGGTGGGGGCAGAGTGGCAGAAGGACCAACCACCAATGGTTGGGCGGGCAAGGCGGGCGACATGAAGCAGGCCAGACCCTGCTGAGCAGAGGGAGTGCACAGGTTGGTAGGGGGTTAGGAGGTCACAGAGGTAGCGGGGAACAAAGCCATGGAGGGTTTGAAGATGAGGACCAGGATCTTGAACTGAATCCTCTGTGTGATGGGAAGCCAGTGGAGTCGGGCGAGGATGGGGGTGATAGGGTCGCAGAGGATACAGGCTGCAAAGTTCAGGATGATCTGCAGCCTATGGAGGGAAGAGTTGTCAAAGGCAACAAGCAAGGAGTTAGTGTAGTCGAGCCTGGATGTTATGAATGGTTGTATGAGGGTCTCAGCGGCCTGCGGTGTGAGACAGTAGCAATGTTGCCGAGGTGTGGGAACAGAGAGTGGGACACGGCAAGGATGTGGCTTAAAAAGGATAGTTGAGTGTCAAACAAGACCCAAGGCTTAGGACTGGCTTAGTAAGATGAAGTGATATTGATCCATTTGAGCTGCAAAATTCCATCCAGTCTTAGCCCTGAAGAACATTTTGTTTTAACATTTAATATTGCGCACAACTATGGAAAATTCTTAATTCAGTCTTTATTTCGAAGCCAGCTTTCTTAAAAAGAACTGAATTCCAAATAGAAGCCAAATTTAACAATGTTCCACAATTCTGCAGTCTTAAATTTGAAGACAAAATAATGATCTTACAAACTAAGAGTGGGTGGAATTATGAACCTCTGAACCGAAATTCTACAAGCTTTTCCCTTTTAGCATAGTTTTGCTACTAACAATCACTACAGTTGGCATTTCATACTTATAGTCTCCCGATGATTTGGTTTTATTTTAATTCAAACATTCATGTTTAGATCCAACATGTTACTATTACTGAAACGCTATTACAGTGGATTCACATGTGTAGTAAAGATAAATGCAAGTTTAATGAACATGATCCGAACTGGCTGACAAACTGATAGACAAGAATCATTATTATTATTATTATTATCCCTTATTCTTTTCTTAATGTCTTCATTCCAGAGATTTTCTATATCCATAGTTCAATATTCATTGACCAAGAAACAAGATTGCTTCTCAGTGCTCCGCTATGCTGGTCTACAGCACTTAAGAGTATGAGAACAGCCTATGTGACTTGCTTTTCATCACCTGTTTGCTACCTTTTCAGGATAGCTCAGAGGCAATTGGAAATTTATGGTGTGCGGAACCACGGGTGAAGGTGCTCCCACTTCAACAGTGGCAACTGAATTAAAACAGCACAAAATACAATTGATAATTGGCAAAGAACCAGAGGGGAGATGAGGGGATTTTTATTTATGCAGTGAGCTGTTATGATCTGTGGTGCAGATTCAATAATAACTTTTAAAAGTGAATTGGATATATACTTGAAAAAAAGAAAAAAAATGCTATGGGGTAAGAGGGGATGTGGGACTAATTGGATAGCTCTTTCAAAGAGCATGGGCACGATGGAGCAAATGGTCTCCCTCTGTCCTGTAGGATTCTACAATTATATGATTCTAACAATGAATGAAATATAATGATTTAAATCAGGAGGCAACAAAATGAATATGTTTAATATACAGTTTCCTTATTCAGCTAGGTTAGCATGTCTTCATTGGTAGACAAAAATGTCCTGCTTGTCACTATAAAGTATAATTTGATGTACTTTTTGGTCAGTCACATGTGAAATAATCTGAGAACAGCAACAGAAAATTATTTTCTGTTTTTTATTATTATTTTATGACTGCTGAGCTTTAGAGCACTGCATAATTTCATTTTCAAACCGTTAAAAGAGATTTATTCGGTACTAAGGTCTTTACGAACATTGCTTTGAGAACTTAAAATGAATGTGAACAAAATACTTTTTATCATTAAAGGATGGCAGGGTGACTTTTATCGGACATCAACTTGGAGGCGTGATCCTCGTCCCCAACAGTAGAGACCACCAAGTCAAATCAGCTGGAGCCGTTCAGATCACCTACTACCTGCAAAACTACGGGTCTGCCTTACAAGATATTGCAGAGAAATGGGAAACTGAATTCAGCCATCTTGTACGCAGATTTCAGCAAGAGTACAGTGATTTGCTGTTGGACTCCCTGACATCTTCTGGTCTTAGGAAGGACTTCTATAAGACCAATACTGTAGCCAGGACTGAAGTGGTGGTGAGTCTTGTGCTGGTGTTGATCGCTGCCACTCTCTCCAGTGCAATGAGGGATTGCCTACGCAGCAAGCCCTTCCTAGGACTGCTTGGGGTTATCACAATCTGCCTTTCTACTGTTACTGCAGTCGGGATATTCATCAGCACTGATGGCAAATACAACTCCACTCTCCTGGGAATCCCTTTCTTTGCTATGGGTAATTATCTTTCCAAAATGTCTCTCTTTGATAAACCATAGCGTACAGTTTGCAAGAATATTTCTGCAAAGTTTTCATTTTTAATGATTGATATTTCTCTGATGAACGAAATATATATGAATCATCTACGATGTACAAAAGAAACACATTTATTTGGCTGGGTCCGGGCAAAGGCAGCAGAATGATAGCAGAATAGAACAGGTAAATAAAAAATAAGTTGAGAGATCTAGACTTCGGATACCCTGATTTATTTATTGTATTTTGCTTACAAAATACAGGTACTACATTTTGCAGTAAATAAAATCTTGTAAATCACTTTTAGGGGTTTTGATGACATGATCAGGCACTATATCAAATGCAAGGATTATTAGTAGTAGTTTTTACACACCATTAGTTAATACAGAAGGTGGATGTTCATAGCATTGTTTCCATTTGTTGGCGAGTCCAAGACTAGATGCTTAATTATAAGGTAATATATCTAATAGGGAGTTTAAGAGGAACTTCTTCCCAGAAAGGGTAATCAGAATATGATTGTAGTTGAAGAAAATAGCATCAACTTGATTCCTACTTGAGGGAGGAGGGAATAGAGTGGTACAAGAGGGGAAAATAACAGGGTGGGATTTGTGTGGAGTATAAACACTGGCATGGACTGGTTGGATTGAATGGCCTATTTCCTTGCTCAATTGCTCTACGTAACTATAAATTAAGAAGTAATAATCTTCATTTAAATAGTCTATCAGCAAAATTAAATGGCATTCTAATCTAAAAGGTTCACCATACAATAGGCACGAAAATTCATTTATTCTTAGCCTATATTTTCGCCAACAAAATACAGTCAATCCATTTTACGGTATATCCTGTGAAGTGCTTAGAGATGTCTCATTGATGTGATAAGGCACTATATCAAATGCAAGGATTATTATTATTGCTATATGACCAGTTTGTCTCAAAATTTAAGATCACATAAAATTTGTAGAAAATTCACAGATCACTGTCCACAGTTCATAAAAAGAACCAGCTTTTCTGCCCAAACCTAAATTTTAAGACAAAGTTAAATGTTAAGAGAAAATTAAAGACTAATACAAGATGGAATTTCAGGTTATAATAATAAAGTTTTAATATTAAATATTAAATTAAGCAATGCTATATTAATAATAGGCTCTGTAATCTTATCATCCCCATCCTTGTCTGGCTCCTCTGGCTCCCCATTCTCCAGAGGATTGAGCATACGATCCTCGTCCTCACTTTTAAATCCCTCCACGGTCTTGCCCCACCCTACTTCTGTGACTCTCTTGAACTCCACCAACCTGCCTGGTCCCTCTGCTCGGCAGGCACTCGCCTGTTTCACACTCCCTGCCTTGCCCGTCCCATCATCGGCAGTCGAGTTTTCAGCCTATCTGTCCCCACTCTCTGGTTTTTCCTTTGACTCACCCCTTCTCTCACCTCCTTCAAGGTCGATTTCAAGACCTTCCCCCTTGACCATGTCTTCGGTCATTCATCCCCCCCACTCCTCTGCCATCACCCCCACCAGAATCTAACTGCCACTCGGCTGCAAACATCAACTGTCCAGCATCTTGGGATATCCTCCCATCATGAAAGGTTAAGGATATCCTCCCATCATTATCAAGGCAATTTGCTTGTTTATTTGTTTGTTATATGGCAAGTCCACAGCAGAACTTTCAAGGTTAACAAAACATTAAATTTGCACATTAATAACCTGACCGGTAATTAACACCAGGCCACACTGGCAATAGAAATTCTCGTTGATAGTTTTCCTCGCTAGCTGTAACCAATCTGATTTTCTCTCATCTAAATGTAATTAACCAGAAAGTTTAACTTTGTTTTGCTACAAGCAGTGATTTTATTTTCATCTGCTGCTGGGCTGCTCTGAGGGTGGGGATAGAGAATTGCATGCGTCTCACAGATCAATGCCAGGAACAATGAACTCACCTTGGAGCTGCCCTTCGAATTCTAGTCAGGATTCTGGCTGAGACACAAAAAAACAGTATTCCAGAGTGCTACTGTGGTGTCTTTCCACAAAAAGGGTGACCTTAATGAACTAATGATGCACTAGAGGTCAGAGGTTTGATCAGAAAGGAATAGGTTATATTCCATTCTTGTGAGGATATGTAGGGCAGGTTGTGGCTTTGTTTATGCATACATAATGTCATACGGCTCAGGGGATAAACATCTGAGTTCATCAATTTTTGTAAGAGTTTTGATCTAATGCCTCCTAAAGCCCTCATGAAGAAGCAAATGTTAGCTTTTACCCACGATATGTATTCCAGTTCCAAAATCAATGTAAGGGTTGACAGGAGACTCTCCAAGCCTATCCCTCTTCAAATGGAATTATAGCAAGGTTGTCCACTGTCACCCACCTGATTTAATATATTTGTCAATGATGTATTGTGGGGTTATAGTTGATATTAACTTTTGCTTGGACACTGTCCTTTACAAGAGCACTCTGGTCGATCCCATTTCTTTACAATTTCAATGTTCCAGTTATTACGTCATTGAGATGTCTTAAACCACTTTACAAAATACATAGTAATACACAGACTGTATATTTTGTGGATGAAACTTAGCAGCCAATAGTGCACAGCAGTGTCCCACAAACAGTCATGGATTGAATGCCCCCCAAAACATTTTTTTGAAGGGATTATTACCCCCAGAAAGCGATCCACCAATTGACTAACAAATGGGTTCCTACTTACTGCAAGGTAAACAGAGGTGTGTGGAGTAAGGAAACTTGCCTAAGGTTTCACCTTGCCCGAAAATCAAACCTGCGTCCTCTCACTTGCGAGGCAAGTGCTCTGAACTATATGCTATAGGACTCCATGTGTTGCCGCTGGACTCACCTGAGGATCTTGTGCGCTGCACTCTCCATCTTGAGTACTGGGCCACTCAGTCAGTGGGACATGATGGTGAGCACTTCTATGTATAGTTTTAAGCCTTCTCATGGCTAAAGAAGGGACTTGAACATGTTGTTGAATTGATTGTTATTGGTATTGGGGTGGACCCCAATTTTTGCTTGGACACTGTCCTCTGTGACACTGAGAAGGGACAAGGGCATTCGGGTCGATCTAATTTCTTTACAATGACAAAGTCCCAGTGCCGGTTAAGAACATAAGAACATAAGAATTAGGAGCAGGAGTAGGCCATTCGGCCCCTCGAGCCTGCCCGCCATTCGATAAGATTATGGCTGATCTTCAGACCTAACTCTAATTACCTGCCTTATCCCCATATCCCCTAATCCCTCTGTTTTTTAAAAATCTATCAGTCTCAGCCTTGAAGATGTTCAAGGACTGAGCATCTACAGCCTTCTGGGGTAGTGAATTCCATAAATTCACTTCTCTCTGAGTGAAGAAATGTTTCCTCAACTCTGTTCTAAAAGGCTGACCCTTAATTTTAAGACTGTGACCCCTGTTTATAGATTCTCCTACCAGGGGAAACAGACCCTCAGTGTCTACTTTATCCAGCCCTTTAAGAATCTTATATGTTTCAATAAGATCTCCCCTAATTCTTCTGTACTCCAGAGAATACAGCCCTAGTTTATTCAGTCTATCCTCATAGATCAGTCCCCTCATCCCAGGAACTAACCTAGTGAATCTATGCTACACCCCCTCTAGGGCAAGTATGTCCTTTTTTAAATAAGGAGATCAAAACTGCACACAATACTCTGTGTGGTCTCACCAAGGCCCTATACAGTTGCAGCAAGACTTCCCTACTCTTGTACTGTAAACCTTGTGCAATGAACGCTAACATGCCATTCGCCTTCTTAGTTGCTTGCTGCACCTGCAAACTAACTTTTTGAGACTGGTGTACAAGGACACCCAAATCCCTCTGCACACTAACACTATCTAATCTCTCCCCCTCTAGAAAATAATCTGTTTTTCTATTTTTTCTACCTAGGTGAATAACTTCACACTTCCCCACATTAAATTCCATCTGCACCTACTCGCCCACTCCCCTGTTGCAATCGTTTTGCATCATCCTCAGAGCGTCCTCCTCCACCTAGTTTAGTGTCATCCGCGAATTTAGATACGTTACATTCAATGTCCTCGTCGAGATTATTGATGTAAATTGTAAATAGCTGAGGCCCAAGCACTGATCCTTGTAGCACTCCACTAGCCACATCCTGCCAATTCGAGAATGACCCGTTTATCCCTACTCTGTTTTCTACCCATTAGCCACTCTTCAATCCATGCTAATATGTTCCCATTAATCCCATGGGCCTTAACCTTGTGCAATAGCCTTTTGTGTGGCACTTTGTCAAATGCCTTTTTAAAATCTAAATATACTACATCTACTGGTTCCCCCCTATCTAACCTGCTAGATACATCTTCAAAAAACTCTAAAAGATTAGTTAAGCATGACTTCCCTTTTGTAAAGCCATGTTGACTCTGCCTAATCTTGTTATGGTCTTCCAGGAATCCCATAACGACATCCTTAATTAAGGACTCAAGAATTTTCCCTACCACTGAAGTCAGACTAATAGTTCGCCATCTTTTCTCTCCCACCCTTCTTAAATAGTGGTGTCACGTTTGCAATCTTCCAATCAAGCTTAACGTGTGTAAGCCATGTGTCCAAACAGATCTCCTGGTGGTTCTATGTGAAGCCCCAAGCACTCTGGGATACTAACCTGCATGAGGGGTGCTATATAAATGCAAGTTGTTATTGTTGAGGCTCAAGACTAAGCAGTGAGGTGAACTTATGTTAAAAAAAGAAAGTTCCATGTCTCCAACTGGTGGAAACATTGCTCAATGGGTAGGGATGTGTGTCCGAGCTGTTGGCAGGAAGATAAACGCAATGCTCTCACACATTTTATGCTGGCTGTGCTGCTTCCCGGAAATCTCACAAGGAGTTCCTGGTATCTGCCGTCCACACAGTGAGGCCTGCACTCCTTGCGGTTGGTAAGTGAGATCTATTTCAGATTCAACCAGCTGCGAGGTGACATGCTTGACCACACAAAGTCAGAATTGAGTTGACCCTCTGTGACC